ACCTGGATAAAAACAGCGGTATGCTAACACGTGATAATATCGCATCAATATATAATTATTCTTAATTCCACCTGCAGAATGGAATGTTTATAACTATATATTCTTAGTTAACTAAGATTTCTTAATATGGAAATCTGACCGTGCTTTATTCAGTCATATATAATGCTATTAATACATTTTAATTAATTTAATTTAATTAAATGAAACCAGTATAATTACCAGTTGAGTAGATATTTCATCCGATTGGTAGTCTCAGGAATTTATTTGGATGTGTCTCTGCATGGAGGTTGGAGTCCCCAAACTTCCAATTCCTCTCTTTTCTCTCCTTTGCATATCTTGCATCTGCCTCCTTCGTCTTGTATATCTATCTTCCCTTTGTCTTAACTTTTAAAGGGCCAGACTCCCTGTACGTCATCAGTCGATGACCCAATAGAAGCACTAGAGGTGTGGTTATCTTCCAGATCGCAAATTAGTTATTTGGTCTGTAGAGGGCAGTCTTGTCCCACTAAACATACCTATCCAGGAAAGAGTTAACTTTTCCTGGTGGCTATTTTGACGTCATTTTGCGTTATCTTTATAGCGCCATAATTTAAAATTTCAAAGGGTTTCTTAAATTTTGTCCAGACTTAGCGTCTGCAATTCCTGCCATAATTTCTGATATGACAGATCATGAACTAAGTTTACCCTTTCCATACAATGGTACCTTATATATATAGACAGTTAAATATTAAATTATTTAATCTTCTCTGTCACAATTGTCTGGGTTTAGATTTGATTATATTCCATTAGCATTTTAGACAGTCTGTCCAACCCCCTTCCTTATCACTTGTTTGTATATACTATGCATTCCTCAGATCTGGGAAAGTGGTTAGCTTACAGATAGAAATATAGTGTCTTTTTGTTAACTTGAAATAACAAAATGGAGTCTGATCTGTTCAGAGTGACTCAGAATATACACTTTTAGTTTCTATCTTAGCACAAAATGTCTGCCGATATAAATACTCTGACATAACCCCCCTTTAGTGCATTTCATAGCCAAAATTAATTTAGCTTATGAATAAGCACTATAGAAGTTACCAGACATATTGTGCAATCACATCATTTCTAACATAGGCCCGTGCGTGGAATGAACATTTTTGTATATATTTGTACCTGTAAAAGTTTTGAACTTTACACTTAGTACAATCAACCATAATATCATTATTACATAGTACATTGTTTTCATTTGAAAAATGTCTTTGGGAGTTACATAT